TCCCACATTGATGGTCGATGAGGCAACCGTGAATATAATATATAATATAATTTTTTATTGCATTTCTTTTTTATTTTGGGGGTCTATGATGAAACATTCGACCTTAAAAGTACTTCTGGATGGCCTATATCTCGTTATTCGTTCTTGTCACATGTGAATCCCAATGAAGGCAGTCAAGTTCCTCTCCTTCGGTGTTATGATAATTAAGGTTTTTTTAGATGGGTTTTTTTGTGATATACATATGTGACACATATAAGCCCGACATTACGTGGGTTAATAGCAATCAAGAACATTTTTTCTTTATAAAGTTTGTTGTCTTTTTGTAGTGACAGAATCGTTGGTTTATATAGTGTTCTCTGAGACCTCAAAACTGCATAACACTTTAATTTATTATTTCTATTATTCATTTTCAATAATGTTGCATCTAAGAGTGTGTTTTGTGGTTTTAAGTCTTCAGGAAAGATGAGTTCGAGGATTTTCAGTACCTTCAAAGCATTGTACTGCTACTACGAACTACAATGTTCCCTGCTTATTTTGCGACAACCACATAGCTATGGGAGATAGTTTTACAAGTGTTAAAGAAGAATAGCAAAATACTGCAAGTTTTTTAGGTGAGCAAATGAGTTAGAGGATTTCACCACCGATAGTGATCAGGCATGGAGAGTTTTCTTAGAGAACAGCTTATCGTGTAAATCACAGGTATTTTAAAAATAATATTATCATATTATTAATTGTTATTTTAATAGTCTTTTTTTATTGTCATGCTACTCACTGTTTAGTAACGTGTTTATTTTTATTTTATAATGTTTGAATTGGATATTTGTTTTCAAGTATGAAAAGTGCTAGTATGAATAGTTCTGTTATAAACAACATTACAGTATAGGGAAAATTTGCTCCAAAATAACTGCAACACAGTTGTTTCAAAATTGTAAAAAACAAACAGGCAGTCAGCTCATCCACAACAACTTCCTGCCACAAACAGACCCAAAGAAAAAATTTCTCAAGGTTTTTGTGATTAGCAGTAATATCAACTATATAAGTGAATATCTTCATAGGTTTCATCCAACACTTCAAATAAGAATCTTTTTTGGCATACCAAATTACATTCTCTCTTTTGATTGCAAATCATTATTGATTAAGAATCTATTTGGGGTAGTTGCAACTGTTTGAAGAAGCAGTTGTGTAGTCGCTGAAGAAGAATCTGCTCTTCAAAAAGTTGTGATGGCTATTATGATTTTTTATTTTTTGAAAAAATCAGACCGCAACTTTCTAGCAGCCACTGCAAGTAGTCAGGTCTGGTGAGAATGCAAAGTTTTAGTTGCAGCTTTTCGAAAACGCAGGTAAAATGTAGTTTTACCAAATAGAAATAGCATCAGTGCGGCAGCGCACCGCCATTGCACAACCACCCCAAATGCACCCTAAGAGTGCACAATCTTGGCCAAATTGGGGTCACTTATATTTTTAATTTTTTTTTTATTATTTTTACTTTATTTATGTTTTGATTTAAAATAAAGCTTGTATAATTGAGCTAGTTGTTTTTAAAAATACTCAAAATATCTTTTAGGTGTTTTGAGTGTTTTTAAAAACAAATTAATAATTTGTTTTTTAAAACAAAAAAATAAAACATATTAAAATTATGCCAACCAAATATATTTTTAAAAACAAAAAAAAGGGAATCGTTTTTTTTTTTTTATTTTGGTGGTTTATGGATCATAAGATGATACATGCGTGCATTCCCCTACTTGTATGTAGGGTGAGAGAGACTTAAATTGGCAAAAGCTGTAATTGCATGCCTAGATCCAGCTAAAGGCTAGAAAGCTGCAGGCCACGCAAAGCAAAACTGCTATTTCTGCCAGAGAGAACAGAAACAGTAGTCTTGAAATATTAGAACAAAAAAAGGAAAGTTTACATAAGTATCATACAATTCTTATATATTTGCATATCTCACACCTAAACTTCCATATTTACATACATAGCACTTTAGTGCTTTAAAACTATACATGAAAAGGTGTGTTTTACTTTTAAAAAGTGGTCATAGTGTTATTTTTTATGTGATATTAAAATTTTGAGTGTTGTGTGTAAATATAAAAGTTTGGGTGTGAGAAATGTAAATATATAAGAATTGTGTGATATGTATGTAAATGCCTCAAAAAAACACAAAGGCCAATCTTACAAAATGTGTGACTCAATTTCAACTTCTTAGAAACAATAAGGACTTGCAACGAGAAGTCGCAGTAAAGCTCCACAAATTTTAAGGGGGGGTGAAGATACCAGAAAGGAGGCATCTAAAGAAGAATATGATCATGTCCAACCATAACAACAACCTTTGTTTATGGCCGATGTAAAGTTAGAGCTGCTTTTTACAATAGAGCAATAAATGCAAAGGTTTAGAGCTGCTTTTTACAATAGAGCAATAAATGCAAAGGTAAATATTTAGGTAGAAGCACTTAAAACTTCTCTTTTAATGTCAATAAAGTATTAAATTTTCTACAATCTCACTTAATGCTTGAGAATTTCCCTGTCCTTCGTTCTAATTATGTGAAATCTCTACAAGCACAATCATACCTACAACTTAACTTAGAAGAGAAGCTATTAGGATGATTCAAATTTTCAATGTTGGAGATTTAGTAAGGACCAAAAGGCTACAAAGTTATAGCATGTCACTCAAATACATTAAAACAAAGAAAAATTTGTCCGTCAAAAAAGAAACAGAGTAGAAGTTGCATATAATCGAAGAAAAGAAATCGATGTCTTACCACTGTAAAAAGGTTAAATGGAAAAAACATTACTACATAGAGAAATTAACTCGAGTGATAAACCCAAGGCATTAGTCAAGATATTAACAAGAGCAAATTATATCACTTGGGGAAGCCAAGATCCAAGAAGATCCTAATAAAGGGATATTCTCCAAATTTACTGATCAGAGAAGCACTCTTAAACTTAGATAAACAAAAAAGTTTCTAGAATTTTCAACAGCTTTTAGAAGGTTCCTCATCAGCCCAATTCCTTCAAAGATAGGTATGGACATGGTGTGCAAATTAAAAAAGATGGGGAGCCTAAATGCAAAATTATAAATTTAAAATCCCTGATGTAGAAGGGCAGCCAAGCCTAAATTCAAAAGAATATTATAACATCTACAAAAAATAAGAAGATAACAAAATTCAACCAACTCTCTAAAATAGGAGAGCACATACACTACAGAATGATTAAATTTATAAGCTTCCAACTGATTAAACTGAAGTATGTCAGGTCATAAAAGACATAGCACGGAGAGCAAAGTGCACGCTACCAATTCATAAGCTTGCAAATGATTAAATTTAAGCCTATAATGTTGTATGAGAGTTTAATTGTCTTAAAGTATAAAACTGTCAAATAAATAATTATCTATAAAAAGGTTCCCAAATAAAAAAAAATCAAGGAATCCGGCTTTACATTATTTGGACAATAAAATAATTACATGAATGAAAGATGATCATATCCCACCATGGATTTTACTGAATGTGAAGGTAAATTGGGGCAACAAAGCTGTTAGGTATTAAAAATAGGTTGAAAACTGATAGATTTAAATTTGCGTAAATCCAACTCGAGATGTGGTTGAACTCAAAACATGAAAGGTTCAACGAATTAAAAATTGCACCAAAAAATGCAATTTTAGCGGATACGAGCCACCTCAAAATGGATACAAAGCAAAGACATTGTTAAACTGTGGAGCCTAATTAATGCCTTATAAAGAAACATGCTTGTTGTTGTTGTTGTTTTTGAAAAGAAATGTCTTATACAAACTCTTTGCGCAAAATTTTCACAATCGTCATCATTGTAAAATCTACAACAGTGGTGAAAAGAGTCCTAAATTGACCAAATTTCTATAAAAATTCATGGTGTTGTGCACAGCTTATTTTCTTCTGTTTATTTCCTATTGATGATTTGTATTAGATCTTGCCTAATTCGCAACAGGCCCAAAGTATTTATTCCAACAAAATACACAAGGATAGCAGTGAAATAAATTAGGAGCATTTACATACATAACATATAATTCTTATGTATTTACATATCTAACACATAAACATTCATCTAACACATAAATAACACATAAACATTCATATTTAAATGCATAAAACTCGAGTCTTTAACATTACATTAAGAGTACCACCATCACTACATTCTTAAAAGTGAAATACAAATTTTCATGCATATGTTTATGACACCAAAGTTTTATAATTGTAAACATCGAAGTTTGGGTGTTAGATATATACATACATAAGAATCGTGGGGTATATATGTAAATACAAAATAATTGTGAGTATAAATAGAGGCATTTACATACATGTCAAATAATACTAAAGTATTTGCATATCTAACACCTAAACATTCGTATTTACCTGCATACACCAGATTCAATAGGTAAAGATAACTAATTTTTGGTACACTTGTAATATTTGATTACATGATAAAGTGCATAAGAATTTAGCAATTTGCAGGAGCAATTCAACGATAAAGCCAAAAAACTGAAAACATATGAAGTGCATACAACATGAACAAAAAAGCATAATATAGGATGTGAAATGAGACTCTGTTTAAAATAAAGTGCATCCAGAAAAAATTGCTAAATAAATACATGAAATATATAATACATTTCATATAAATTTAAAAAAAAAATAATAATAAATAAATAAAAACTTCACCTGCAAAAATGGATGCAACACAAAGAAAGAAAATGGATAAAATCACTAACAAAGATCAAAAGCACGTAAAAAAAATTCAACAAAATTGAAACAAATCATATGCTTCTTCTTCAGCAGAATAACTCCTTTGCCCTAGGTTATTTGTTTCCCGTCCAGAACTTCAAATTAATAAACTATTGATCGCATACAAAACAGAAAATTCATGCCAAGAATCATGCCAGAAACCCTAGTTCTTAGTTCTGTCCAAACTAGGGGAGAAAAAATAATAAATATTATATGAACTGAAAAAACAGGCTTTTTTTTCCAGAAAGATCGCACCTTTCCGCCGAAGAGAAAGAACTGAGCAAGACCTAATGAGGCAACTCCTCCCCAGATCACCACCGTCGATGAAAGCAGCGACCATTTTCTATAGATCATGGCGTTCTTCACCTCTCTTCTTAGCTTCTTCCTCCTCCTGCTACCCTCCTATATCCCTATCAATAAAAAATGAGAACTAGCATGATCAACCAGCCAGAGGGCTCATCAAGAGACTTTAGGGCCTGTCTGGTAACGGATTTAGAGCAGGATTTAACCTAAATCTTGCCAGACGGTCCGGATTTCACGGATTTCGCCTTAAATCCCGTAAATCGCCAGATTGAGTAAATCCGGGACGGGCTTTCGCGCGAAAAGGAAGATGTGGCGTTACCTTTCGGTAGGAACAGGACTGAAAGAGGAGAACGATAGGAATTTCGGGTCTTTGTAGCTTTCTCAGTTATCTCTAATCAGCATAGGAGAGTTTGCGAAACTAGGAAGCCGGGAGAGGGGGAGGGAAGAGGAGATAGGTTTGCGATTTTATTTTATTTTCAATTTGAGTTAATTTTATTATTTTAACTTAGGATTAATTAATAATTAATTAGTAAATTACTAAACTAATATATATTATAAATTTTTAATTACACTTATTTAATATCTAATTAGTAAATTACTAAGCTAATATATATTATATTTTTTAATTGTACTTATTTAATATCTAATTAATGATAAAAAAATATTTTATATTTTAAGTAATTCTTAGTTAATATAATTAATGACTATTTAATTTAAAGTTAATGTTAAAATATTATTTAATAAGTACTTTTTTTAATAATTTTAAAATTAATAATCAATTTGTTTAGTATATCATTAGTTATTAATAAACTTAATTAGAACTAAATTGAAAATGATTTTAATTAAATTTAATAATTATTTTTTTTATTATGGTGATAAAGTTATTTCTTTTATTCTAATAAACATAACAAAGTTTTAAATCATGACAGAAGCTGTCAAAGAGCTTGCCAGGATTTGACTGGATTTATCAAATCCATTGCCAAAGTTTTTGGGATTTAACCCTTACAGGATTTACTAATTTTGGGATTTACAAGATTAACTAAATCCCACTAATATAAATCTAATATGTTGTCATACAACCCCTTTATGAGCTCAACTTTGCTGACATTGAACTTTCCAACTACATGCTTTAGCAACCACCCAAACATATAATCAAATATACTATTTTAATCATCCAAAGCTTTAAATATAACATTTTAATGACCCAAAACTTTCATTCAAAATGTTTAGTGGGTAAAAGATAATGGTTGTAATGGAACAAGTTGTTAAAATATTACATTAAAATTTTTGTGGTTAAATGTTTATATTCAATGTTTTAGTAGTTGATATGTAAAAACCCCTTATATAAAATTTAGTCAAAGTATGAACTATGTGGTTAAACAACCTAACAATATTGGGTCGATCATTAGGCATGTGATAGGATTGCTCTTTCAATCAAATTAATCTTATGTGAGATCTAGTAGTGAAGCTTCAAATTTGAGAAGATTGATATCAACTAATATTTCAAAGTTATTAGATAAATAGACTATTATAGCGAGGCATTTGTTGATTATATAGAGGGTGTTTTCATTGCCTTCCTTATTTGTTTAAGCTAATAAGATACCTTAACAATTCCTATAATGTTTTCCTATATAGTGTAAGTGTCTAATATATATATTACTTGTTATCATTAATTGTTGCTTAAAATACTTTGTCCAGTGTAATTATGGTATCTTCATTCTTTGGCTTGGAGAAAGGTTGGTTTCTACCAAACAAATTAGTTATAAGTATTAAATGCAAACTAGTCTGTTTTTGAATGATGGTAATACCTTCAGCTTCTCATTAATGGAATTTATATGATGGTCTTAATCTTCAATATGTCAATTTTAATCTTTAATTATATACCCAAAAAACATATTTACATAAATTCTTCATAATGTCAAATTTAGGATATGTAAGTATTTGAATGCCAAATTTATGATATGTAAGTATTTGATGTTATCTTTATGGGATACAATTTTGGCCATAAAATTATCAATACAATGCACTACTTCCTTGTGTAATACCAATGTCATGGCCCTCTGACTGATGACTCTTGCATATAAGAAGTAAGAAAAAATTATTTTATAGTAGATACTAATAAAAGTATGAAGACGATGTTATTTATATTTATAGATAATTTAATTTGGTTGTATTTAAATGGCATGTATATAAATGAGAAATATAATGAGTAAATATGTTATCCATCATAACTTACCTTAAATGTGAAGTTATTTTTGAGGAATTTCTGTGCATATATGTGTCTAGTCATTTAATTTGTTGCAGTTGTTACGGTATGGTGAATAAGCCAAAAGGCAGTCTAATTTGACAACATTCAGTGATGATTAGACTAGTTTTCAATTTGATATCTTAAGCTTATGATAAGGAATAATCATTTACCATTTTTATAAGAACATACTTTTTAATTATTTAAGATAGGATCAAACCTAATGCGCTCTTATTCCTCAATAATTCTCATTTTGTGAGAGCTCTCTATATCGTTCAATACTTTCTTTCAAATATAAAATTTTGAACATTAATGTGAATCACATAGAAAATTTTCACTTAATAATGTGAAGCACTAGTACAATCATTTGATTTTTATTTATACATTAGTTCAAGGCACAAAAATATATGGAAAAATGTTTGATAGCTTTTGTCACGCTCTTTCAATATATTTATAATATGCTCATTAAATTCATAAAAATCAACTAATTTACTTCAATAAATCTATAATATATTGAAAGAAGATATTACATTGCAACAAATGATTTGGACAAACATTATAACTACCATGTTCACCACCTATAATGATTAACAATATTTTCTATTACAAGACACTTGATTTTTCAATGGGTTATTAATTTATCTTTTAGGAGTAGGTGTCACTATAAAATCATACTCAAAACACCTATAAGGGGGAAGTGTAGACAACACCTAATATCAAAAGTTAATATCTATACACCTAGAGACCAATATAATCACCTCACTTTCTTTCTTGAGCGTGTTATATTTTACTTAGATGCAAGCCTTGCATTCTTATTTTCTCAAACAATGGATATTTTCCTTTTAATTCACTCCACAAAGGATGTGGAATATTAAACCGAGCCATTTAAACATTCGTGTTAATTTTCTTATTATGAATCTTCTATCCAGTCTCCTTATAGAGGATCCCAACTTTAATTTTTCAAGCTCTCGAAGTGTACACTCTAATCCTACTAGAGAATTATTTCGACTATGCACAATTGATGAGCTTTTGAATTGTCAATCAGGGAATTAAATTTAGCTTTTCAACATAATTCCATGTGAAACAATCCTAATATTTTATTCACTTTTCTAACTTTATCTAAAAAGACTATACCTCCCAAGAAAAGTGAGACAAAGATCTTCCATGAAACCTTTTTTTTGTTTTTGTTGATGGTAGCCTAACCCTTTATTTTAGCTCTTTTCATGAATTTGGTGTTTTCTCCACTTCTTGGTGGAGCATAATGCTTGGTTCATCTTCATGCCAAGTGTTGTCAATGCGTTCACTTTAGTATAATAAAACCACTTTTATGTTTATTATTATGTCTACAACTGATATAGATTATTAGACTTTATATTTACATCATCGATCGCCGCAAGTGTAAAAAATTAAATTTAAATATGAATTTATTCAGAGTAAAAAAAATCTCTCTGAAGAAAATTCACGATAATTTATGATTTTCATATATAATTTCTCGTCTTATTTGTATTACATCGAGGAAAAAATATTTATTTAAATATAAGAGATTTCAATCTCAAATAAAAGCTTTCAACTATAGATAATATGTTGTACCAAAAAAATATCCTAATTTTAGCCAAAATAAGACATTTTCTAATTTTTCATAACATATAATTGGTTATAAACGAACATAAATGACATCATGTATTATCCTTTATTTATATTTTCTAATTTTTCTTTTGTAGAAACCACCCATCCTCCTACCTCACTCCCAAAACCATATAATTGTAATGACCTTTAATAGCATAAACTCTTATGATGATTTCATATATTAATATGTTTGCTTCTTTCATAATTTATATATGTTGGATAACTTATCTCGCATTCTATCCCCACCTCTCGTATTCGTCTTTCTCTTTCTCCTACATAGGTAAAGTGTGTAACGTGACGTCGCTGAAAAATATTCTAACCCTCTCAGTATTGAGAAAATATTTTCCCTATGTTAACCGTACGTAGAGTTGCGTTCGGTGAACCAATTAAAAACATCTCTAACCAAAAGTGTATGTCAGTGGGCCCCACTTTTAATTTTTTAAAAAAAAAAATTTAAAACTTAGATTGGAGCCCGTACACAGCTCTGCGCACCGGCTTCGTAATCTTCTCTAACATCAGGATGAGTGAGTTACTCTATCATCATTGGAACATGACCTAACACCATAATAAGGGAAAAATGCTATTTTAATCATGAGAAATTAATTAAATGAACTAATAATCATGTATTTAAATAAAATAATCAAATTTAAATTTAAGGGAAATTTACATATATATATATACCTACCACACAATTCTTATGTATTTACATATCTAAAACCCAAAGTTTGATATTTACATTTATAACACTTAGATGTGTTCTACTTTTAAAAAATTAATTATGAGCATATTTTTGCAGTTGCGTTAAACATTTGAGTGTTATGCATGTAAATATAAAAATTTAAGTGTCCGATATGTAAACACATAATTAAGAATTACAATGCATTGATGTACATAAAGACCCAATAAAAATTTAAACCATTTTAATCAACAATAACTCTGCATGCAATTGCCCCCAACATTTACTAACTAATCTCAAGTATATTACTACTATTATTATTATTTGCATGTACAAAGCAAGTCATTTTGTCAGTCTCATGTCAGTTAAACACTAAACTCATCCCAAGTTTTCGAGCTCGACCAGCCTGATCCATAAACTTGCCTGATAACTAACTTGGGCGCAGCCAGTAACCAGACTACTCGTATCTCGACATTTTATGTAGCTCCAGAATTCACTATAACATCACATAATTTTATGTGTAATATTACTATGTTCTTCGCAATCATGTAATGTGATTAAAGACGTCCCGACAAAAGTTGGAAAAATGCAACCACGTTGTCATGGATCATGTGGCGGCCCATCCGGACAGTCGTCCGAGCGTGTGGTCGAGACAGGTAATAGTTTCTCTAGAAATTGAGAAGTGAAAGATAAGTTAGAGGTTATCCTCAGGACAACTTTGGATCCTTAAAATCATTATCTAGGAGAAAAGAGTGCCAATGAATCAATAAATCCTTTGCAATAATTAACTACACTGCAATTTCAAACTACTTTTTTGCTTGACAACAGCAGCGATTCCTCCATGTTCTGATCAAAATTTATAAGTCTGTAGTTAGTTTGATAAGTCAGACAGCATCAACAGATCATCATTACTGAAAACAAAACCCAAAAAGGAGAGATTTTGATGCAAAAAATGAACAAATCCATAAACATATCAGAGCTTCAGATTCAAATCTATCTCCTTTAGTTCTGACGACTGCTCAGAATCGCTTGTCTTCAACTGAAAACTCCCCGGCCATGAAACATTTCTCCCTTCCTTAGAAGCAACAGGATGCCAAATCATCTGCTCATCTTGGAACCTTGCCGCCATGGGCATCCCTCCTTCAAGCTTCAGACTTTTATAATCTACAGAGCGAGGCTGAACTCTCAGTGAATGAACAAAGGAAGAAGAAAAAGGAAAACTTAGAATCATTTTATGTGGCTGGTGAGTTCTCTTTGCTGCTCCTCTTTCTCTTTTGTGAGCGTTTTGATGGCCTCCTAGAGCCTGGGAAGTGCAGAATTTTCTCATGCAGAAGTTGCAGGAAAACACCTTGGGAGGAGATGGTTTGCTCTGGGAGTCTGAAGAATTCTCCATTGTTGATGTGATGTTCCGTCCGAGTGTTAATTCCAACCATTTTTTGCTTCTTCCATTGCAAACATCTTCTTCTTCTTCTTCTTCTGATTCTGATCCTGGTTTTTTCTGTTCATGTTGCTCTCTCTCGCTCATCTCTGCAAAGAAACTGAAGGAGTTGTGTGAGATTGGAGCTCTAGATGAAAAATGGAATTTGAGCTCTTTGGGACTTTGAGGAATGGAATTGGTTCAATTAAAAAGGAAAGAAAGATGACATTTTGATGTGATATATTTTAGATTTATAATAGTGCAGCTTTGTTTATATCATGTGGAATCCGTTGTATGTGGGCAAAATGATAAGATGTTAGAGATAATACCAAGTTATTGAACATGAATGTAGTTAATTTCACCTACTTATCTTAATCGACAAAGTGTTTTTGTTAATAATTAAAAAAAGAGGTTTTTAGATACATATCACTCAATTTCTACGTATTCAATTTTTTTATAATTGAATCGAGCTCGCTTGTCAAAATGGTTGAACCGAGTCTACCTATCAAAATGGGGGAATCAAGCTCATCTGCAGAAGTGACAGTTATCAGAAAATGTCATCATGACTAGTAAAAATATCTATTAATTTTTTATTAGAGACATCGTACAGACAATTTGAACTTGTTTTTCTTTAGCTAAATACCAGGAATGACCACTGTACCGACAATATTTGACATCGACCATCAATACCTGGCATCCAGATTACATTCTTCTATCAATACAATGGAGAAATGTGACATATAATACAAGATGTACTACTTCAATTATTTTATTGGTTTTCTCCCTCATGTATAAAAGTAAAGGTAAAAAAGAGTTTACTGAAATCGTTTTCCATCTTCATTATCTCGATAACCTCTCTCCGACTTACTGGAGATCAAAATATGATATATTTCATAAAGTTCTATCGGAAGGCTATCATCCGCTCTCTTTATTATTTCTCTACGATACAAGGTTTTAAACCAGATTATATGTACTTAAGAACGATATGAGACCCTACGTCTTAAAAGTCAGCAAACACCTAAACTTCACTTTCTCCTTTTCATGCATATGTAAGGTAGTATGTATGTAAATATAGAAGTTTAGGTGTTAGATAATTAAATATTTAGGATTTGAGGGATGTAAATGTAAATTTTCTTATTAAAAAAAAAAAATTATTCTTTTATTAGATATATTATAAAAATTATTATGCACTCATTTGCTAATTTTAAAAGAAGTTGTACAATATATATAAATAGCTATAGATTTATTTATATAAGATGAGGGAAGTACATATATAACACTCAAATTTTATTTATTTATACAATTAATACACAAGTCATGTTTTTTAGCTATCAACCCTATGCATTATAATAAATAAAGTTAATATATAATTAGAGTGAGGCTAATGATGGTGCCTATGGGCAATATTTATATAGAAAATAATGTTGTAGAGGGAAGGAAATAAGAAAAATATAGTTGCATGGGATGCTTTATGTAACTATTTATCTCTTTTATGGCCCACATATTTTGCTTGTAAATCCAATGGTAGTGCCCATATCATGATTATGTTTGCTCATATTTATCCTCATATGTACTTCTTCTTTTTGCTCACCAGGTAAAACTTACATCAGCCATCATATCTAAGCTTGTTTTCTTCCCTCTCATTGATATGCTATCAACAAAATTTCATCATATGGGACGAATCTCGAGACATAACATAGATCTCGAGACGACTTTTTGAGTGAGAAGTATTCAAACATCGATAGAAAGTCATCAAGAATTCTGATTTCAGTAAACTTACAATCAAACTGATCAGCTTGAAAAGAAGAACCCAATGTTACCAAAATGGTCTAATCCGACAAATCAAGCTAAGATCAAGTCATTAAACCACTTTTAAAAGTTTTATGAACATATTTGAAAGGTCAAATGAATATTAATTCTGACGAGTTTATAGTCAAATCGAGCGTCCTGACAAGACGAATCCAACATGCTCAAGATCATTCAATTTCTGACATCAATAACGAACTCAAATATTCATCAAATAACGTTTGATCGAGGGAATCCCTCGGAGTTCTCCGATCGAAATAATTGTTAATAGGAAATTGCGGGCGCGTAAAATTTAATTTATTGTTGTTGAGTTTGAGACAGATTATCTATTCACCGCAAAAAATCGGTCAGTAGACATTTATACCGCCTAAAAATGTCCTTTTACCGTCAGATTTTTTGGGCTGTGATTTTTCTGTAGTGGATGGACCCTGAAAAAAGAGATAATTTTCTTCTGAATTTTTATTGAACATTGAAGAAGAGAACTATTGTTTTGCTTGCCTTGATGCCTCACATCATTTGGACCATTTGGGGACAGAGGAAACAAGGAATTCAGTGTCGTTTATGACCAAACACAGTCACTCCATGCTTATCCATGACTCTGAAGTTTTGCCCTGCCAAGAAATATTGTATGCAAGGGTGTAAGCGAGCCGAGTAGAGCTCGAACCGCCCTTAGTCTGAGCTGGAGCTTGATCAATTTTATCGAGCTAGAACTAAAGTCAACGAGTTCGAGCCGGCTTGTTTAATATAAAAAAGAAAAAAAAATGATATTAATTTAAAATAATTTTATAATAAGTTGGCAAATAGAATGAACAATCGGGAGATAAATAATAAGAAATCATCTAATATACACTATAAGGTATTATTTCTTAACATTTTTAATACCTTAAAGATAAGACTTTGAAATTTAATATATTTTGAGTATATTGTATGTTAATATTTTTGTTAAACAAATCGGCTCATGAGCTAAGGAGTCAAGTCGGGCCTGACTTGAGCTTGGCTTGTTAGCTCATTGAGTTCAGTTCACGAGCCACTTATTGAACCGAGCTCGAGCAAGCTCATGAGTCGGTCTTGACTCACTTGCACCCCTATCGTTTTCTGAAAATACGTAATGATTTAATTGAATCTATAGAATTGTGAATTGATGACAAACAATTTAAAAGCTTATGCTAATAAAAAAAAATCCTTACTAACATACAAAAAAATCAACATTTATTTTATAATTTTAGTATCACTCTTTTTTCACTAATCTCATGTAGAGGGCAAATGAGTAGAGTCGAGCTCGAATCACTTTCTGTTTGAGCTTGAGCTTGATTAATTAATCTTATTCGAGCTTGAGTTTATCAGTTAGAAATGGAGCACGAGCTTAAGTTTACGAATTTGAACTGGCTCTGAGTCGACATGTCTATTATAAAAGAGAGAAAACAATATTATTTTAAATTGTTGTAATAAAATGACATAAACGAGCAACTAGGAGACATAATAAGAAATCAATCGATATACAATATAAAATATCATTTTTAAAATATTTTTAAAAATTTAAAGATAAAGTCTTAAAAGTGAATATATGTTGAGTATATTTTATATTATTATTTTTTGAGCGAACCGGCTCACGAGCTAACGAGTCGAGTCTGAATTCGTTTGAGCTTGGCATGTTAGCTCGTCAAGCTCACCTCACGAGTCACGAGCCAGCTTGGCTCACCCAAAACCTCGTGTATTTCAATAGTATGTTTGTCTTTACAAAGGTATTATCTCACATTACATTGCTACACTGCACGCATGCACCATATTTAAGAATATAGACTTCCATATGAAATGCACGGTAAATTCAAATGGACAAACCACTCAATTCTTATATATTTACATATCTAACACCCTCATGAATCATAATTTTTTTTTTTTTTGAGGTTCTGGTTGGTTACTTGGGGGTCAAATAAACTCTAAATTTAATGTGTCTATGGTCATACCAAGTTTTCTCGACTAGTAGAACCTAACGAGACAAAGATCACATGATTCCAATGTCATTAAGGGCATTAAATCATTAAAAAAATCTTCTATAATCAAGGAGAATCAATGTGGGTCATTCGCTCAAGTGATTGTGATTATTATTCATCGAATGACGAAAATACCCTTACTTCAGGGCCTATAAATAGACCTCCCTCTTCACTTGGAGGGGAGGAGGGAGGAGAAGAAAGAGCCCATTTTTCAATGTTGTTATTGGCTGAAGATCATGCGATAATTTCAACCTTTGCGATCGTCGACCACCGCTCGTTGTTCTCTGTCAACCACCGTCGGTTGCCTCTTGCTCACCGTTGTTGTGGAGTTTGCAAAGCAACGAAGCAGCCAAAAAAGTAATTATGCATATTGCTGAGTAGCAAAGTATATGTGAAGTAAAGACGCACATTACAGAGTAACGAAGTACCCTACGAAATAGCAAAATACATTGTAGGGACATGTGAAATAAAGACACACCTTTCAGAGTAACGAAGTATTCTATGGAATAAAGACACTGTGAAATAACAAAATATCATGCGAAGTAACGACACATATCATGAGTAATGAAGTACTCTATTGAGTAATTAATGAAGTCTTCTACATATAGAGTAACGTAGTGGTCTAAATATTGTGCAATGAAGTACCCCGAATATGATGTATCAAAAACCCGACATAAATTCTAAGTAGCAAGTGCTCTCGATCATTATACAACCAACATTTCTGCATACACACATTATACTTGGAGAAATATTGTAGATCTTTTCCCGTCGTGGGAAAAGAGTTTTTCTTTGTACTTAGAAACATATAGTTGATCATTCAAGTTAGGCGTTTGGGCTAGGCCTCACGATTTTTTTCATCTCGAGGCTTTTTCTTCTGATGTCTCCTCCTATTTCTTTTTATTATCTACGAGTGTGTTAGATATTGTGCAATGCTGAGGCATTAAATTATTGTTCTACCGCCGCGAATTTTCTGGCACGCAACTCACCTAAATTTTATTTCTTACATTTAAGTCGCCCAAATCTTTCACTTCATATAAAAAGTACCAATATTTCAACCCTTCAAATAAAAAATGCGCCATTCATACATGTTTAAGATGACTTATAACTAAAAATTGAAGTTCTTATTTTAAAAAATTTGAGCGAATCTAAACACACACCCCATATATAAGGTTTTGAACTTGAGTCATCTTTGTCGAAAGACAAAGCTGTCAATCACCATGCTACAGTAGCTCGTGTAAAAATCAATGTTTAGGTATCTCACATGTAAATACAAAGGAATCAAATGGCATGCATGTAGATCTTCCATTCTTAGATGTAAGAACCCCAAATCTGGCCACGTAACATTACCATACCACATACATGCATGCATACATATATCCACACAGGGAGAGAGAAAGAAAGAGAAATTGAAGTATAATTCTGCATGACAAGAATATTCTACAGTATATACATACATA